CACCAGGTTTCTTTCCCAGGGGGGCCTTTGCCTCTAGATTCTCCTAGTACCTCCTTTGCCACTTTTCTAATGCAGCTGGCTATGGCATTTCACATAGTATTTACATCACCTACATATGACCAAGTAGTCTCATCTAACAACTTCTCTTTAAAGGCCAATTGCTTAAGCCCCTTCAAATGTCACCAACGAGTTCTTGGGAGGTGGTTTATTTTAGTCCTTATATAGCAAAGCTTAATGCTCACATCTAAGATCACTAACCTATGTTGGGTAGCTAGTACTTCTCCAGGAATTACTTTACAATTCTTACATAGAGAACGATCTCTATACTTAGTGAGAAAATAATCCATCTGGCGTAAGTTCCTTCCATTCTTAAAAGTTATCAAGTGAGAATCTATTTTTTTGAAAAATGTGTGTTATGACAAAATCATGTCCCAACACAAATTTCAAAATAGATTTTCATTCTTCGTTTTGAGCTCCAAAACCAAAACCACCATGGATCCCTTCGAAGTTTTCCCTATCCTTACTAACATGCCCCATTGAAATCTCTTCCAATAAAAATGCTATTCTCATTGCCTATACGACACATTAAGTGTTAGGAACCTAATATTTAGAAGTCTTGGCATTATAAATAAAGGGCTTAGTAGCTCACTAGGGTAGGCTGTGATTTTGAGAGTTTTGGGAGACTGAGATTAAGGAAAGCTGGTGGTCTCTCGAATACCACCAAATCAGGAGTCCCCGGAGTACTCGAATTCTCCATTCTATCTTTTACTTTCCGCTTCGTAGTGTAATTGGAGATTGGCTAGTGGTTTTCAATAAAAGAATTCCGTTCTATCCAATTCCTTGTTAATTTCAGGATTGATATGTGTATGTTTGGCTGTGGAAAACCTAGGTCCCTAACAATGGTATCAGAGCACCGATCCATGGTGCCTACACCGGCAGATTCGGAGAGGGTGACCACCGTGGAGAAGGGACTGGTGGTGGTTCAAGAGGCGGTCTAAGAGGTGGTGGCGGAGAACCTGCCACAGATTTGGGGGGAGGTGGCTGGGTTGAGAGCGAGTATGGAGGGACTTCAGGGACATATGGGGAAAGTTCGGACGCAAATGGGTGATTTGTAGGCGGCCCTTTGGCGAATGGAGGCGCTGTTGGTGGTGCAGCCAGTACCGGAAAGGAGCTACGGAGTTCGCGACGGCGAGCGGCGGAACGAAGAGCAGCAACACCGCGATTTTCCGGGCGAAGAGATCGCGGATCGCGACGACCCAGGCGGAGTGGGGGAGGATTTCCAGCACGATCGTCGTCAGGGGGCGCCGATTCGCGAAGGCCGAGGTCGCGAGAGGGAGAACGATCGCCAGAGAGACGTGGGTCTCATGGAGGAGCGTGAGTTCTGTCGTGATCTGGGGCTGGTTGGTCCGGATCTGCAGCGCGAGGGCTTGTTCGACGACGGGAAGAGGGCGGATGGAGGTCGCGACTGTCGAGAGAGGGCAACGGAGCTTGGTCGGCGACGTGAATCGGAGTGGGAGCCGGAGTTAGAGGAGAGGCTTGCTCCGGGGCTGGGACGACATGGGGTACCCTCGGAACAGGGAACCCAGCCCTGATTCGGTCGTGGTTGGGGCTGATTCCAGCCCGGTTTGGACCGGGCATCGCGATTCCGGTTCGTCTGAGGTAATTCCGGCCGAATTCGGACTGGGTCGCGCAAGTTCGGCCCGATTTGGGAGGATTTCGGCGAAATTAGGGATGGGTCCTGAAATTCCGGCGGCCCTAGGTCTGGGTTTTGCGATTCTGACGTGATTGAGACTGATTTCGATGATGTTAGGTTTGGGCCTCGAACATACAACAAGATTAGAGCTAATTACAGCCAAATATGGACTGGATCTTCAAGTTTTGGCATGACTGAGGTTAGGTCTGGGCAATCTGAGTTGGGTGAGGGAGATTGGGTTTTGCAATCTGATTTGAGGGAGCGAGTTGGGTCTTCTCGATTTGGAGTCAGAACCAATCTAAGGGTTTCGAGTAAGGAGAGGGGAAGGTGGCACGACACCCTATGAGAGGGCCGAATGGATCAACGATTTCAGCGAATGGATATGCCATTGTTTGCCGGAGAAGACCCTGATGGGTGGGTCTTTAGAGCTGAATGATACTTTTTGTTTTATAGAATGACGAACAATATGAAAATTCAAGCTGTTGAAATGGCTATGAAGGGTGATGCTTTGGCTTGGTATCAATGGCAAGATGCTCGTTGCCCATTCTACAGTTGGAATGAATTGAAGACTCATCTGCTTAAGCATTTCAGACTGTCATCCGATGAGGCCTTACCTGAGAGTTTCTTGGTGAAACGTCAAGAGGATACCACGACTGACTATAGACGACAATTCAAGGTACTTGCCAAACCTGGGAAAGAGATTTCAAATTCGGTTTTAGAGAGAGTTGTCATTACAAAATTGGAAGTCGATAAAGAGCAAGTGGTAGGTAGTTCAAGTAGGTTGCGTCTAGCTCAAACAACTGATGTTTCAGATCAAATGGATGTTCAAGGAGTCTTGACTATGAAGAATTTTGATGGCAAGGTGGACCAAGGCATTGAAAATGAAGTTGGTTTTCAATCTGATGCTTGTAATGAGGGGCTTCAAGATATGGGAAATAAGATGTCAATGACATCAAAATTTTCCAAGGATGTTACTTTAGAACCGGAGTTTGCTGTACCAGTGAAAGAAGTCCATTCTTGTATTATAAAAGATGAATTTGATTCTGTTTACAGCAATTATGGGGCTGTTGATAAAAGAGTATGCTTGCAGCTGCCCTCCATTGTTGATGTTCTGACAAACAGCAAGGCAGCTTTCTCTGGCGAGGTGGAACATGCACTGCAGCAAGATAACGCTTGTGGGAGGAAGGTTTTTGTTATAAATGAATTGTTTGAGCTGACCAACAAGGTTTTCCATTATGACAAGGATGATTTTGAGGCTGAGCTTCATGGTTTCGCTGCCCTTAAAGTGGTTCTCAATTCTAGCTCCAAACAAAAGTGTGAAGTTGAAAAGATAAAGTTAACAAGAACATTTGAAGCAAATTTTGTACGAATCATTCTGGTCGACGTTCTAAGATCCAACCTCATCAAGATTGGAAGGAAGTGGAGTCACACGGTTGTGATTACTTAACACCTTGAGGACAAGATGTTTCTTTGGGGCGGGGGTAATGTTATGAACCTAATATTTATAAGTCTTTTTTAATAGTCTTAATAGCAGTATAAATAAAGGGCTTAGTAGCTCACTAGGATAGGCTGTGATTTTGAGAGTTTTGGGAGACTGAGATTAAGGAGAGCTGGTGGTCTCTCGAATACCACCAAATTAGGAGTCCCCGGAGTACTCAAATTCTCCGTTCTATCTTTTACTTTCCGTTTGGTAGTGTAATTGGAGATTGGCTAGTGCTTTTCAATAAAAGAATTCCCTTATTTCTATCCAATTCCTTGTCAATTTTAGGATTGATGTGTATGTTTGGCTGTGGAAAACCTAGGTACCTAACATTAAGTCATCCATGTCTTCCCAGAACTTGACTTTAGTTTCCGCATCAAATCCTATTTGTAAAGCGTAAGCACTAATTACATAGATGAACTTATTTCCTAGTACCAATTTGAGCATAATAATTCTATCTCCTATTCGCTTAATCTCAACTACATCATCCTTCACAGTTTTGTCCACGAGAATACCAACTCTATTGCGATTCCTTTCCCAACCTGTATACCATAATTTGTGCTAAATTTCTAATCTCCTTTGCTTTCTCTCTTATCCACTTCGTTTCCTGTAAGCATAAATGTTAATTCTTTTTCTTACCATAACATCTACTAACTTAATAAATTTACCAGTTAAGGAACCTACATTCTAACTACCTAAACGAATTTTCCTATCATGGGCTAGCTCTGCCCTTGCATACATCCATGAATGTGCAAGGACCCCCCTTGCATATTTTTCACCATATCCGGGGCCCGACATGGCGCATGGGCTCGCTTTTTCCCCCGCACATGTCTATGAATGTGCGAAGACCCCCTTTGCCTATTTAACACTATACCCGGGGCCCGGCATAGCGCGTCGCACGTAGGGAACGCCTCAACAGATTCTATGTGAGTGAAATTCAAGAGAGTGACTTATTTTTACGCTTGCCGTCAACCTACCGCAACTCCCCTCCTTTATCCGGGCTTGGGACCGGCTATTCAAACGCATAGGCGGAGTTAATAATGTTTGCTTGTTTACCTTCTACGCGTTTTTTTCCCCTACTATATGAGTTACTTCATTGTTTCCATGGCAAATCTCTACTCAGTTCAGCCTTCTATCCAGCATATAAGCACCGGTTCCTTGTAAATCCTTATCTGTGTGCCTGTAAGCTTAATTTCAAAATCTTTTGGTCGCCGCCTTTGTAGACTTTTAGCTAAATATTATGATAAATCCCCTATCAGATTCACTATGACAGAAAAACTACAAACAGGATCTAAATTGTGTTAGTTGTTAGAAGTTGGTTAGAATGGATTAGACTGTGGTGTGGTTGTTATAGTCTATTATTAGTTAGGGGATGGGAAAAAAGGGTACAAGTGTCGGAAAACAGAGACGAAAGGCTAGCCTTTGTGGGGAAGTTGGAAATTCTCGGCTAACCCTAGTAGGTAGAGTTGGCAGGTCTCTCGAATTGCCTGTTCACCTTGTACAATCTCAGAATTTTTCTGATTCAGAAAACGATTTCATCTGATCTCTATTCTTTTTCTTATTCTGATTCCTAAATCCTAACTGGAATCCTTAGATAATTAGGGCTTCTATCGTCTCATAGATTCATAATATATATGTTAAAATGCAAATATTTTCCGAGTAAAAGTTGACAAGTGCAGGATATAATTGAACTATCCGTGTTATTGCTATTGTGACTACAGGTTATATTTATATATATGTATATATAATATATGTATGTATATGTTACCTAAAATATCCAACGAACAAGGGCACGCTGCTTAAAATCACTTGATACATTTATTATAGGATAAAAAGAAAACTGCTCCAGTGAAACAATCAGACATGAAAAGAACTAGAAGAGATCGTGGGGAGCTGGAGGATATAATGTTCAAGTTATTTGAAAGACAACCAAATTGGGCTTTGAAGCAGCTTGTCCAAGAGACTGATCAACCTGCGGTATGTCCATTGATAATGATTTGCTTATTTTATACTCTTATTCATTTTTTGTGGCTTTAGAATTATGCTTTATATGGTTATCTGCAAGCCTTATAAAGATATCCTTTGTAAGGTTATCTACAAGTTAAAGTGGGTTTTGGGGTGGGAAAAAAAATGTTATCTGAGCAAAATCCTTGAGAATTGTAAGTAAGCGAATCTTCTATTGTTGACCAACGAAAAGGGGGAAAACCAAGGACAATCTTACAATTATGTTGTTGTGAAATATGATCCCAACACAATGTATTATATCTTGCATTAGAGTCTTTCTGAATGATATTTGTAACCTTTTTTTCTACAGCAATTCTTGAAAGAGATACTCAATGAGCTATGCGTGTACAATAAGAGAGGGACCAACCAAGGAACTTACGAGCTTAAGCCAGAATACAAGAAATCTGTTGAGGATACAAATGCTGATTAAATCGACTTTTTTGTATTAATGATTTTCTCGTTGGAGGAAAGAGAGTTGGGAATTAACCAGCAAGAGTGGTAAGTTCCAGTGAAGAGCATTATAAGTAACACCATCACCATCAGCAAGGAGCAAAGTCTCTGCTTGCTCGCATTTGTTGATTCATAATTGCGAAGGTACTGCTAATAATTATAATCTGTTTGTTATGATTATGGGGTAGGGGGAAAAATCTGATAAACTTGCTGTAAGAATGTATATCCAAGTTAGTTTTGACATCCATAATAGTTACTGTTAACCGCAGTTTACTTGTTTGAGAAGGTTGCTTAAATTTCCATTGCTCTTCATCTGCTCACTAGCTCTCGTCACGGACTCACTGTCACTGCTTACAGATGTCTTAGGGTACGATTTTATTTTTTTCTTTTCTTTCTTTTTTTTTTTTTTTGAATAATTTCCACACTCCCTGTATTTTGTTAAAATAACAGAGACGTTCTTTTGATTAAATCTAATTACGTCAACACCTCCTGACGTTTTAAAAAAAATTACACAGACTAGTCAACCATGTTGACTCAAATTTGACTTAAATTTTTTGAAAATGTCAAAACTGTCCTTTCATATATAAGAAAACATTTCTAGTTATATATAGTGCTGAAAATGTTGATTTTACCCTCATTTAACACCAAAAATGAGTTTAATTAATTTTGTAACACTTTTAACTATGTAATGGCAGAAAAATCGTATATTTTGTTTAATTCCTTTGTTCTAAGAGTCCTTTTTTATTAGTAATAATTGAAGATATAATCTAAATCATATAATGTATCTAATACATAATATCTAAAAATAATACATAATTCATAATGAGAGAACCCTAACATAATACAAATTAAAATGACCAAAAAATGAATTTATAATCCTCATTATTGGATAACTAATTTGGGATTACATTGGTGCTCAAAACAAAATTGGGGGGCGGGGCTGTCATTTTGTGGAAATAAAAATTATTGCATTGTTAAAATAGATGCTTTGATAGGTGTTTTGTATGAGGATTCGTATCATAATTCGTAGTTCATTCGTTAGTATTTTTTTCACAAAAAATACCCGTAAATTAAATTATAGTTCGTGATTTGTTACAGTATTTTTTCTTATAAAAAAACATACGTAAATTGAGAATAATTTTAAATTATAATTCTAAATTCATAAACTAAACGTCTAATAAATAATTTTGAATCATAATTTTGAATTCGTGAACTATGCAATGCAGACAATGCCAAAAGAATTGGAAACGGAGAGAGAAGTTTGCTTCGCACTTTGCTGCATAGGAATTAATTTTTGCCTGGAGTAGAAGTTGGGCATTACATTATGATAATAATGGGAGGAAATGGGGAGGAGATCTTCAAAATGTTTATGCAAAATAAAGAACCTTGACTGTACAACAAAAATCACTGACCGCAAGACTTCACGAACAAAAAAATTAACCCCCATCCATCAATTCAAATTGAATCCAAAGACCACGGAGCAACGAAAGAATTCATAAAAAAGAATTCAACACACAATCACAAACTCGTTTCCCTTCGGCCATTCAATCTCTCCCCTACTAAATCCGAAGCTTCCCCGGTGTTTTTGGCTGGCTCTTCACCGCCTCTCATATTACTTACCATGGGTCTTCAAAAATTCGTGGCCTTCAACTTAAATCAGGCGAATCTTCGTCGGTGTTTTGCCCCTCCAACCCTTCAATCTCAGGTTTCAAGCAAGATATTCAAAGAAGACAACCCCTTTCCAGAGCAAATATGAAGACAACCCCTTTTACTCCGTTGCTCGCGACGGCGGAGAGGTTCAGGAAGGACGTTCTCAACGGAAGAAACGTTGGGAAGGCTGACGCGACGGCGCTCACAAGAGGGGCCTCCGCTGCTCTCACCGATGCTCGCCTGCGACTGGTTCTCGACGAAAGGTGCCGGCGGGAGGTTGGGGTGGGGGTAGGAGGTGGGGCTGTTACTGACACGGTCCATGGGATTTAGGATTTTTTTTTCTTTTTTCTTTTGTTTTCAAAATACACATGAACCAAGGGCTGAGATTTGTAGGACTCAGATCAATGGTTAATATAAATTAGGGTATATTTGTCATTTCATATTTAAATTTAACAGAGTTAAGTGGAAGGGGTGTTGGTCAGTTGGTGTTATTTGTTTTGGTGAAGGGTGGCTTTGTTATTTTGACAAAAGATAAGATGTGTAGGTGTAATAAGTCTTTTTTTTTTAAAATTTTTTATTTAAAGAATATAGGGTAAAAAGGGGATTAAAATATAGGAATATGTGGGAAACTGACCTTTTCTAAAATATAATTTTAATAAAGTTCCAACTTTGTTAAATTAGGAAAATAATCATTTTTGTAAGACATTTAAGGGATTGACTTGGTGGTTCATCACTTATTAACTTATATAATAAGTATTTAATTATTATTATGTTAAGTTCAGTCATGGCTCATTTTTTAAAAAAAAAATTTATTTATTCATTTAGTTTTTGTTTTTATTTTTTATTTTTTGTTTTATTTTAATCGGGTAACAGGTTTCGGGACTTTTGGCCATCTCACCTAATTTCTCAAAAATGAAATAAACAGAGTATAAATTGCATGAGTTTGGGCTTTATTCGGGTTCTTTTTTTGGGCTTTAGATCTAAGATGGTTGATGCTATGTATTTGGGCTTAGACAGAGTAATAGATGTTGGGTCCTGGGATTTCAACTGATCTGGTTGAGTTTTATACATACGACATACGACGAAAATTGTATTAAATAGTAGATTTTTAAAATTAAATTAAATAAATAGCGGATTTAAAAATTATTTAAAGTAAATAGTAGTTTATCATGTAAATATTTTATTTATGACTTATAAAAGTAATTTATGTGAAAACAATCTTTATTTATGTTAGAAAATCTTTTTACTTGTTGTAAAAAGAAAATTTACTTTAAAAATCTTTTTATTCGTAGTAAATGAAACATTTATAAGATAAATTGATCTTTACTTCTAATAATTTTAAAATATACTATTTACTTAATTTAATTTTATAAATATTCTATTTACTATATTCTCTCATTATATAATAGTATCTGTTTGTTGTTGTTAGTACCAGTTTGAGTCTTTTAACAATTTATAAGACAATATAAATAATGCAGAAACATAAAATAAAAGAACACGAGAGAAATGGTATCGCGGTTCGGTAACATTCTACTCCACGGGGCTACGCCCAGATGATGAACAATCCACTAAGAACTCTTTTACAATTCAATTGAACTTAATCTACCCGAGACTCCATCTCTAAGAAGACGATTATGAACATGCAATTTCCCAATGGACTTGAACAGTGAGATCTCCTCGACTTTTTAACATTAGAATCCCTCCAACTAAGTCTTTCTCCCGAAAACTCTCAAATCATCTCTCTTGAATACATGTGCTCACCCTGTCTCACAACCCAGTAAAAACTCATTAAAAGGCGTACCATTACTCCAGAGACTCTTTCAATAAAAAGGCAGAAAGTTAAAGGCTTGACTACTTCTTGAAAAATTCACTGAACCAAATATGTTGCAAATCCTTGTTGCAACAATAACTGTAACATAGCTGTCATGGTCAACTTTCTGAAAACCAGTCCGAATCAAACTCCTTTAATTCTGAAACCTTCCCGAACTAATATAAGAATTTGGACTTATTCCTAGGAGACAGAGGAAGATCATCCAGCCACGAAAATCTCAATAAAAAATCAATCAAATCAATTTACCATCTTTGGCTCAATAGTTGACTTACAAAAATAGAAACTAAATTAAGTTTTCAGATCTTGCAGAAACCTTCCATAAAGACCTTTCCAGCTACACATCTATTCTCAATCACAATCAACCAGCCAAACATTCTCAAAATAATGCCAATCAAATCCGATTACAATCAATACACAAATTAGGAAATAAATCCCAACAATCTCCGAAAATAAATCCCAACAGTTGTTAGTAATTCGAAAAGCATGTGTGGAATTTTTATAAGTGAAAAAGGAGCTTGAATTACAATATCAATGAAAAAGGGGCTCGAATTCATCTGCTTAATAGGGTTACATATACGCACCAATAGAAAAGAGTAGATGGAAAAAAGTTCTCTTTGTTCTTTAGTAGAATAAGTGGTTTAAATAATTTTTTTTATTGTAATTAATTGCTTGTAATATCATTTTGATATTGTATGTTTATTTCAGTTGAATAAAAAGCTGTCTTTTTTTCTAAAGGAAAAAAAAAAAAAAAAAAAAAGACTAACGTGATACCTGGGGGGCAAGAATTAAGGATATACCTCCGGTTGTAATAAGATCCTCTCGTTTAAAGATGGAAATCTGACGCAATGCTTAAGCTGAATTGTCTCAGAATGTATGGCAGCCAACGTGTACGTACGTTATGAAATGTACAACTTGTATAATCTATGATGGCAATAGTCGCCCATTTCCTTGGAATATAATCATTACACGCATTTTGTGTGTAGAATGCGGCAGTGATGTTAACCCAAAAATACCTCAATGGCCAATCCATGGTTTCTTTTTTACGCAGGTTTTTCAATCCATGCTAATTGCTAATTGCTAATCTTCAAGTCTTCAAGTGGGCTACCCCTTCATAAGTACTTGATCAGCATTCGATGAAGCAGTCAAATAATCTTAGCTTACTTTTATCATTAGCATGTGAATGATGACTCGACTCGATGGCAAGTAATTGAACTTACGTATGACAATAAAATTGTTCCATTAAAAAATTGTTCTTTTTATTTCTTTTTATTTTTATTTTTTTCTGTTTTGTTGTTGAAGACTTTCCCTTGGATATTATTCCGAATTATGATGAGCCGTAGACACAAAATAAATACTTTTGTTATCAATTATTAATAATACTAAAAGTAATTAGAGTCAATTAATGGGATTTTATTTATCATTTTGATTATTAGTCGTTAATGAGAGTTTTCATGGTGTTTAAGCAAAAGCTCGGTTAGAAAATGATAACATGAATATATATTTTTTTTAAATTTGGGGTAAAGATTTAAACCCGACACGAGTTATAGTGAAATAAGGTGTGGATCTACCACTAACATATGTTTGCAACAATAGTATGGTATTATCATTTAATTCATATGCATCATATTAATCGCATGGCTTTGGACGTGATAAGATGGATTACCCCACCAACATGAAACTCTCTCATCAATTTGTCTAAAGAAAAAAATGACGAATTTAGGCATCGTTCATTTCACCGATTCGAATTTTCAGTTCTAGGTTTCTATAGTAAAAAGCTATCAGAAAATGTCACATTTAACTTTTTCTGCTACAGTGAAAAGCTCACAGAAAATGTCACATCTCAACTCAAATTGAAAACTCGAATCCGCGAAGTGAACGAGGCCCGTTTATGTGTCTCATTGAGTGGGCATTAAACAGAGAGCTACAGTAGAAGTATGCCCAGAT